AGTTTATGTTAGCCCTCACATCGCACTCTGGTTCTGTGTGTAGCATTAACACTGTGCACGTGTTTCAAATTAAACACTGCACGTGGTTTCTTTTATAGTTAAAACATTCGTAGTACAAGATAATTATCTTTGCCATGTGTATGAACCAATACTACTTACGTATCATTTATCATGCTTTCTAGTTAAGTATATGTTGTCGCCACGTGTAATTACGTGGTTATGTAATATGTTTATTATTAGCTTTGTTAGTCAGGACATTGTTAACCTGTACTATTTGTTTATTTTCAGATATTGTCCTTTTTCTTTCTCTTTTTCTTCATAGAAGCCTTTTTCTTCATAGGCTACTTCTCCATAGTTCATAGTGTCCTTTTTCTTGTTTTCATCATAGGAGAGCATTAATTGAAAAGCTATAGTCCTCAAGACCTGATTGTTCCATTTTGATTTTATTTAAAAACTGTAAGCTAAACGTCATCCACTCGGCTACAGTTTTTGGCGTCGTCGGCAGGGTCAAATTGAGGATAGCTTTTCAGGGTTAATTTGAGGATAGCTTTGCAGAATCCAATTTAGAACTTTAGAAGAAAAAGGACAACTATAGAACTAAGAATGGAGCCAGCAGTCGTAGAACAAATACAAGTCGCCAACAGGCTGCCCAAACTCCCCAGATTTACCGGTGAGAGTGGAGCCGAGCAATTTGTTAAGGAGGCGAAACTTTTCCTCCGGTTGCAGCCGATGCCTGCAGCCACGGCAGTCATCTGGATAATAGGTGCCCTGGAGGGACGTGCTCGTCAGGACATTTTGGACCAAGCTGTTGCTACGATAGACACTCCAGATAAACTACTGCACTTGATTTTGCAGAACTGGGGTGATCATCGTGACGTCACAACTCTAGCGGCCGCATTCTACCGTAGACAACAATACCTTGGGGAAACTGTCGAGGACTATGCGAAAGAATTGCGCAACATTTTCATGTTAGCTAATTCTGCACGACCTGGCATTCTCCCAGAAGACATACTGCGTGACGTATTCATCCAAGGTCTCCAACCACCCGCCCTACGCAGAGATGTCAAGGCCTACGCAAGGCTACACACTAGCCGCTCATTTGATGACGTCCGTAGGGAAGCACAACGGTGGATGCGTGAGTACATTTCTGATGTCGCCACC